ACCCTTTGAAGCAGTGATAATAGATAAGTTGATAGTTAATATCAATTTTGGATGGCTGCCAGTGGAATGATGGCTCAGTTAAAAGCAACCCATCATGCTACTAAAAGCTAAGTAAGAAAATATTCTGTGCACGCCAGACCACTGAAGGCCATAGAGAAAGAGTATCCTGGGAGAACAAATCAGTAAAACCAGTCAAAGAGTGCCAAAGAGATTATTTAATTAGAAGTTTTACTGGGTCAGCTGAGAGAGATCCCAGTGGAGACAACTACCTTTCCTTTATTTAAAGACCACAGGTTCAAAATAAACAGACATTTTAGCGCTGAATTGCATACCTTTTAGGAACATTTTGTTTGACCCCCAAATTGAAATACTTAAATATTTAAACCATCTTTAGTGCAGAAGGCACAGTGTTACCCCAAATAAACGGAAAATCAAATACGCTGGCGTTGGTTGAGTTGATGGTTCCTCATATCAACCTCATAGAAAAGAGTGAAAATACTTCATTTGGTCTCCAAAGGTGAAAATCTTTACAGAAGCGGACGGCCACATCTTCTTCCTGTGGAGCGCATGGGGTGGAAACAGAGAAGTTTTGCTTAGCAGCTGTGGGCTTCAAACATTCTTTTGCCTGGGCTAACATTTTCCAAAAAATACAGGTAAATATGAACTGTTTTATATTCATATTCAAATGTAGTTCATGATGTTATAAAAATTATTATTAAATATTAAGTAACAAGTGTGCTGCTTTATTAAACCATTCCCTATGTATTTCTGTGTGCCTTCAATGGAATTTCCCTTAAACAGTGGTTTTAGATAGCGATATCAAATTATTTTTAAATGATGAAAATTTGAAAACTACTAATTTTTGGTAATTATATTAAAAGGGAACTTGATTGCCTGCAAAGACTTCGTAGCAAATAATTTTGTATTAATTTAAATTTATGTATTTTACTTCTGATGATAGTTTCAAAAGTGATATAAAGTATATCATGGATATTTCAATCCATGAAATAAAAACACAATCACTGTGGCATTCAAGAAAATTTTATTTTATAGGAAACAATGATTTTTTAAGATAAAAAAGGTAAAAATAATTTTCAAAGCTTCTAAATTCATATTGTTATATGTTTGGTTTCCGGGTTTATTTTTGTGATTTATATTAAAAAGTACAAGAAGGTTAAAATTTAGGTAAATTGGAAACTGTGTAAAAGTTATTCATTCATAAAAATCTTAACAGCAAAACTGAAAAGCAAAATTTTGAAATGAAAAGATGGAAGTAGCCATGGTTGTGTTGTACTTGGATCTTTAACCGAGGAGGATGGACATGGCAGTCAAACATAGAGTAGCACATTCATTTAAGTTAATCTTCTGCAAAAGATTTCTTTAAAGTATTTAAAAGTAAAGATGTCATTTGAAGACTGAAATGCGTCTCACCCTTGTGTTGATATTCATTACCTTCACCAGCATGAAAAAGCAGGACTATAAATGAGGAAGACAGAACAATTCATTGATGTATTTAGATTATGGTGTTGGAGAAGATTGTTGAATATACCATGGGCTATCAAAAGAACATGAAAAACCATCTTGGAATATGTACTGCCAGAATGTCCCCTAATAGGAAGAATGACTAGATTCCATTTTACATTTCATGAGCATTGGACTCATTAGCAGGAAGAATCAATCTATGGAGAAGGCCATCATGCTTGGTAATGCAGGGAAGCACTAAAAAGAGAAGGTGCTTCATGAGATGAATTGATACAGCGGCTGGAATGACAAGTTCAAATGAAGCAATGGTGAGGATGTATTTCATTCTGTTGTACTTGGGGTCACTAGGACTTGGAACTGACTGCTGACACTTCATAATAAGAGTTTTTTAATATTGTCTTTTATAAGGCAATACATAAAACTTTCACTCTTTAGTCCATGTAAGAGTCTTAATTATCTCACATTTGAGACATAATACATTCATTATGTTTATATAAATTCCTATATTACAATTCAGTACAAAACACAGG